TAAATTCCAACGCTGACCCTACCTTGGCGCCGTAAAATCGAGAATAATCTTATCCTCCTTGTCTCAGGTGGATAATTATGTAGCTTTAGTATTCGTGGCCGTACGGAGCGGGCCGAATCTTAGGCTGTTTGATACGGTCGCTCATAGTCTTCAAGACCCCTAAACCGAAAGCACGCTCACAATGATGGCTTTATATGAGTTCGTAAGGTACAGCATCTGCCCCACAGTGAGGAAGATTTTCACTCGACAGCCGCTCATGTAGTTCGAGGAGCAAGCTCTGGTGTCGCCATCGTGGCCAACCAATCATAACCTCAATGCAAGACCCCTTTGAGATCCTTTGTGCTCCATCTGGACCATAGTCTCGAAAGTGAAACTGCGGAAAGTTGAGGATAGTTATAGCCTCACTCAAAGGTGGTTTAGAAGTCGAGTTAAACCACATAATTTACCTGGTACATGCTTTTCTGTCAAGGCCTGTAGCTTAATTGGCAAAGCCCATTTCACTTCCGTCTTTTTAAGACAGTACTTGACTATGCAGGTTCAAATCCTGCCGGGTCTACTCTCCTTTTCATCTTCCACATTTTGTCGCCCTCTCGGGCAGGTTAACGCCACATAGTTTGCAAGCGAGTAATGATCGTTACCATAGTTAACTATCAATTGGCATCATTTCGGGTACAATTCAAGGGTGAGGGACGCCAGTCCATTCCCCTCGATACGGCAGTGAGCGGTCTCTTTCTCTGACGACCTCACGATTCCGCTGCTGATGTCTTGAGATACCGTCCTTTTTTCACTTAACTTTTGGTGTGCTATTTCGGTTCATTTTACTAATTGCACCCGTGAAGGATTCTAACCGACCAAGTTAATCTCTGATGACGCCCCTACATTCATGCGCTGAAGCTCATGAATCCTGATGTCCTGTGACACGATCACCCTGTTTCCCTATTAGAGTTGCTTTTGAGAAACGGCTATAATGACCACGAGAGTCTGGTGTCTCGCATCGCCATGTACATTCACCCTGTACGCAAACCAACAAATGAAAGGGAACAAACACACGTGTTTGGGCGGATCGCGAGGGACAACCACCTTCCTTCGTATCTCGTGCGCAGTAATTAACCTCTCGCTCTTGCCTTATTCTGAATTCTGATCAAAAGAGGTATGCAAGTTGTGGCTCGGAGATTCTGATAGAGGCGCCGGGGCCAATGTTGGGCGCGCTGACGTTTCGGCATCACATTCCATCCCCAGTAGGAACCAACAGGTCCAATAACACCAAAATATTCATCGATAAAACTTCACATGTTAACCCTGATGGACGCAGAGTCACCTTTTCAATCACAGCCGCTGCTCGCCCATCTAGCCGAGGAGCTACCTGGGATTCTCGAAGTCCCTGATCGCCCGGAGATAACTGCTGGATACGCAGATATATATCATGGCGTCTGGAGAAGACAGGACGGCACCCAAGTCGATGTTGCAATCAAAGAGTTCAAGCAACTTGTCCCTAAGGACAAACGCACCGATCTGGATGCCCTTAAGAGAAGGACAGACAGGGTCAGTACTGTATTCGGACTGTCTGTCTCTGACATGGTGCCGTATTGATGCCTGATGGACCACAGCGCATGAAACGGGAAGTGGCTGTTTGGGGCCGGTTAAGCCACTCTAACCTACACCCGCTACTTGGCTATCGTTCTCAACCTCGGCCACGGCTCATAAGCCCCTGGTGCAGTCATGGCAATTTACAAGATTATTTACGGGACAACCCTGATCTCTCCCGACTCCAAAAGCTTCGACTAGTGCGTTCACTTCGATCTTACTTCCTGCTTCACATTTTCGTTTACCGCACACCTCAGGTCTATCAAGCAGCTTCCGGGCTCCACCATCTCCACGCACAAACTCCTCCCATCTGCCATGCTGATATCAAGCCCCAAAACGTGCTGATAAATGGTCTATTGGAAGCCGCGCTATCTGATTTTGGCTTGAGTCGGGTTCTACAGGAACTTGGCGAGCCTGGCGAGTTCACAACAAGCGAAACAGTCAAAGGAACTTTGAACTATATGGCAGGGGAACTTTTCGCTGGAAGCAAACCAAATCTCCAGACTGACGTTTACGCGTTCGGTGGACTCGTTCTAACCGTAAGTGTGTGAAGTGAGGTTGAAGGGCTGGGGAGTCCGGTTAGCTGAGGCCTAGTATACCAGGTCATGAGTGGAAAGGCGCCTTTTTTCGGTCTCCATCAGGCAACGGTTATCCTCCGTGTGATGCAAGACCAATCACCGAGACCAGAGGACCACCCTGACTTACCTTCTTCTGATCCTCTTTGGGAGCTAATGCGAGGCTGCTGGGACAAGAGTGCCGCCGCTCGACCCACAATGCAGGAGGTTCTGGGAAAAGTTAGCTTTTATGCGAGTTTAACCACTCACCTACATACTAAATACAAACTCGCATTATCTAGTTGCTGGAATATGGCAATTATGAACACTCTGATCCTTGGCTACCACCTGGCCTACAGCCTGTTCTCGACGACGGCAACAGCAAAGAGTCAGACATGGACGTAGACGTAAGCACCCATTTTTGCCATTTCATCCTGTTTTACGTGCTGTTCAACGCCACCGATTCAGGCTCCGGGCGCAACGCCGAAAGGAGGAATTTTACCCTTGCCGCCCCTCACCCCAGTCCTTGCGGATGATCAGACACACACGCTGGAGGCAGGGAAGACGCGCGATTCGATTACTGAAGTAGCACTCGCAGCGCGGGGGATATTTAAGAGCCTGGAAGTGCATTCCAAAATTATTCCAGGCATCGGAGGATACATCGCCGCTGCTGTGGATGTTGGGACCACCCTGTTAGAAATGGCTGAGCTGGGGTCAATAGATTCTTCTTTCGCCGCGCCGCCACCAGCATCAAGTCGGCAGGTTGATGATAGAGGCGAATGCGTTTTCAACGGCCTGTTACCTAACGTCTGGGAGCTAGCCGTCCTTCTTGAGCTCCTCCACAAGAAATCCACCTCCCCCCGGGAAGGGGAGATGGCGGTCTGCATCATGAACATCCAGAGGTATTCAGTACTGCTCTATATGCTGAAACAGTGTTAACCCCACCTCCCCAAATGGTTTCTAGGGAGCTTCGATCCGTGCGAGAAAGAATGGAGCAACAGCGCTCCTCAGGTTCCTTCCAGAACGCGTTTTCTTCATGGGATTACAAAGAAGCATCGAGGCGTCAAGGAATGGTCGGGAGACTTTTGGAGGAAATTCAAGTCAGTCACAAACTGTCGCTGAGTCTTTCGGTGGCTAATATCTGTCGATAACAGTTACTTGTCGCTATCAATCCTGCGGATCTCATAGCTGTACTCGGTAGGTTCTTTCCCCGCGAACGCTATGAACATTCTGACACAGTTTCTTCAGTAAATCCTGATACACGGGAACAAGAACGTCGTCTTCTGGAGCTGTTGGGAGATGGAAAATATGGGGCGCAAGGCAATACGATCGAAGATATCATCTGCTTCCCGGGAACCAGGGTCGAGATATTGAAGCGGATAGACAACTGGATTAGGGACACGTCCACCCCTGATCGAGTTCTGTGGATCCGGGGCATGGCTGGGCGAGGGAAATCAACTATTGTGTCAACAGTGGTTCACAACTGGAAATATCGAGCCTCCTGCGCGACATTCCACTTTCGTCGTGGTCAAAGCACACTCAGCACATCCGTCGTCTGCGCTCTTGCACGTCAGTTCGGGAGCAGCCTGGTTGCGGACGTCAGAAATGCAATACTGAAGAGCGTTCGAGAAAAGGAGGATATCGCGCACCAACGATTCGACGAGCAATTCAAGACGCTCTTGGTCGCTTCATTGGCGAATTGTAGCAATCAAACGTATCCTATTCTCATTGCTGTTGACGCCCTCGACGAGTGCGACAACCCCCAAGACGCTACCGCTTTGGTCAAGCTGATCGATGAGCACTCCTCGTCATTGCCTACAAATGTTAAATTCCTCCTCACATGTCGACCTGAGGCCCCTCTTCTACATAATCTTGAGCCCAAAAAGTGGCATGTGGAAGACTTGGACTCGGCATCTGATGTGTCAGATGACATAGCACGGTTCGTGAAACAAGGCTGCATCCAAATTAGGGATGACTACAACCTTCCTGTCCTTTGGCCTTCAG